TAATAAAGATATAAAATATATATCTAATATCTTTATAGTAGTTAATTTATTTATAGAGAAGTTACTAGTTCAATTAATTATTTTATTTTAATATTAATTAACTAATAGAAAAATATTTTATTTTTATAGAAGATTAAAATAATATTTATGAAAGAATAAAAAAAAACTTATTAGGTAACTTTATATATTTATTTAATATATAGTTTATATAGCTCTAAATAACATAGAAATATATTAAGAAGCTTAACATAGTTTTTTAAAATAAATAGCTTTAGTAATTAATAAAAGTAATAACTCCCTAAATAGCTTAGTTTATTCATAATTAAAAGTTAATTATTATATAGATTATATTTAATTACTAATTACTTACCACTAAAAAGTATATATCTATAGTTTATTATATTAAATATATTAAAACAGATATTAAGTAATAATAATAATATAATAATATTTAAAATATTAAATCTATAGCTATTAGTAATTATAATAATACTACTATTTAAAAACTAAAAGACTTATAAACTAATAAATATTATTATTTATACTAAATAAATAATTTAATAACATAGATTATAATATAATATTATTAGTAAAATATAGAGATATATGAGATATTGTTAAAATTAATAACAAAATAGAAATATAATATTATATAAAGCTTTTTAAATTATTATAATATTATAGTAATCTATTTCTTAAAGAAATACAAGATGTTTTATTTAAAGTTTTTAAGATTTAAATTAGTTATTTTATAATTAGTTAAGAATTAAACTTATTTAGCTAAATGAATAAGAAGTTTATAATTATTATTATTTACTAAAATAATAAACTATAATACAAATATTATTTTAATAAATTAGTATTTATTGATAAATTGAATATTAATAAAGGTATTAAAATATAAAGAACTAAATAAATATTTAAAAAGCTTATTATATTTTAAATTATAGAAATTAATTAGTCTTAAACTTTCTGTATATACATTTTATTAGCTTTTTTATTAAGTAATATGTTATATTTAATTATATATTATAACATAATTAAGAATAATAGCTTTTCTATTAATTATAAGAGTATTTTACTCTAAAATATAAGTATTTTCTAAAACTAAACTCTGTTATTATTATAAATAACTTTTTATATTATTATATTTTTTAAATTAAGAATTTATACTAAGTATTGAATATTAATCTTAACTTTTTACTTTTATTTTTATTAGATTTTAATTTTATTAAGATATATCTTAGTAATCTAAAGTAGTATATTAAAAAGATGTATTGAAAGTAGAATAAGAATCAGAATAATATTTAGGATTTTATAGAATATTTGTATAATTATATTATAGAAATTAAATATCATCTACTTTAAATTAAAAGCTAATTTTATTATTTATTTATTAATCTTAATAAAATAGAGTATATATTTAATAATATTAAACTATAAAAAAGAGAATAAACTATAAATATTAATATTAATAAGTAATTTAAATCTTTATTATATAATCATAATAAATCTTAATTATATTATTATAAGATAAAGAATTATTAGATTTATAATTATAGCTAATAAGATTATAAAAGATTTCATAATAAATATATTAGAATATATAAAATATGTTATTATCTATTATGTTTACTAATAGCTATATACATATATTAATCTTAATTACATAATAGCTAAAATATATTATTAATATTTATAGTAATAATTTATAATAATAATATATTATTATAATTTATAGTTAGAAATTTTAACTATAGTTAGAGATTTTAATTATAATTAACTAAAAAGTATTAAAATAGATTATATTATTTATTAATCTAAAACTATAGTAGTTTTGTTACTCTTATATTTATAAAGTAGTAATATGAAATCTATAGCTATATGTAGACTTTTCTATAGTTAAATATATTATATAAGAAATTATACATATATGTAAATTATGTATTATTTTTACTATTTAATTCGTTTTCTTTTTTTAATAATCTAATATATATTTTTATATAAATATCTCTTTTTAACTTTTAATAGTATAAATAAAAATTAGAGTAAGATACTATATTAGAAAGAGTATTAAACTACTTTTTATAATACGTACTATTATGTATAAAGATTTTAATTAAGTTTCTAATATTTTTAATAAAATCTTAAGTAAAACTTTATTTAGTAAACTAAATATCTCATAATTTATAAATTACTTATAAGCTACTGTTTATTAATTATAGTTTATATAACTCTTTTTAAAACTTTTCAATGATATTATATTACTTACTATAAATAAATATAAACTATTTAATAAAGCTCGCTATTTAATTTAAAGCTTTTTAAAATAAATTTAGAATTATTAATAAAACCAAATAAATTAGAAATATAATACTTAGTTAATAAATATATAAAGAGTTTAATAATAGAAGAGTTAATAAATAATATTATAAGATATTTATATATAGCTAATATATTAATAATAGTAATCTTAGTAATAATAGCTATATATATAAATCAAAATATCAAAAATAATAATCTAATACCTCTATACTACTATATGTATTAATAATAGTATTACTATTAATATTAGTTAAATTAGATCTTAACCTTAATAACAAAAATATAACATTTTTAGTTGTCTCTTTTATTATTATTATTATCTTCTAAGTATTATTAACTTTAATAATATTTCTATTTTTTCTATTCTAATAATTTTAATCTTTAATAAACTAATTGTAAAAAGCCTTATTAAATAGCTTTTTAAATAATTTTATATTATTAACATTATTTCATTTAGTTATAATAATTTTTATTTCTTTCTCTACATAATAAAATTTAGTTTTATAATATTTCTAGCTTAACATATAATAGTAATTAAATTATTTATCATTAAAACTATTTTTATATCTATGATACTTTAAGTAGATATATATATATAGAGAAGTTATTTATATATATTTTCTTTTTAATATTTAATATTTATAAAAGTATTAAATTTATAATTCATTACTTCTTATATATTAATAAGCATACCTATTTAATTACTTTTTTTAAGATACTTACGTATTAATTATTATTTTACTAAACATTAATATAACGCTATACTGTTACTTGATAATAAAATAAATTTCACTTTTCTCTTTAGTTTATTTAAGAGAAGAAATAATATTAAGTTATAAAATATTTAGTTAAATAACCTCTTTAGTAAATAGATATATTGAAATAAAAGTTAATATTAACTTTAATATATTAATTAGCTTTTTCTAAGTAATAATAATAATAATATTAATTTTATTTAAATTTTATAAATAAGCTATTTCAATTTTAAATTAAATATTACTATTTATTTCTTAGTTTTTACTGTTTATATTTAACATATTAATAAAACTGAATCTATTATATATAATATTGTTAATAATTAGATAAAAATAAATAAACTACTACTTTTAAACATTAAACTATAAATAACTTAAATTTTTAATAAAATTAATTTATTATTATTTGTATTTTCCTTCTCTTTAAATATACTAAAACATAATATAAACATATCATTAATATTATAATAAAAAGCTATAAATATATTATTTATAAATTTAATAATTTAATAGAAAATAAATTAACTAAAATTAGATTTAGTTAAAATAATAATATTAATAAAAATAAATATTCTAAAACTAAATCTTCTGTAATAGATCTTTTTTTATTTCTTTTATATTATTAATAACTTGTTATATTATTAATAACTTGTTATATTATTAATAACTTGTTATATTATTAATAACTTGTTAATAAAAAATACTTTTAAAGTTTTTTATAATAATAAAAAAGCTATACATACTCTTTTTTTATAATATAAACTTAAAAACTACTAGATTATTATTTTTAAAATTAGTTTTAGTAATAATAACCTTTTTACTAGTTTTATTAGTAGTTTCTTTAATAACAAGAGCTTAATAAGCTTTCTTAGTAAATATAACAATTCTAATTAATAATAAAATAAAATATTAAAAAAAGTCTTTAGTAATATTCTATATTAGTTATTATATATATTATTATCTCTATATATTATTAGTAATAAGTAGTAAATAATACCTAAATAGGTTATTATCTACTTATTAAAATATATAGTAATACTTAAGAAGTATTATAATACTTTTAGATTATAAGATTTAATAAGAATAGATTAATTAAAGCTATTAAAATAGGTTAACTATTATACTATAAGTATCTATATATCATTAAGTAAATTCTATATATATAGGGATTATACCTATGTAATTTCAGTAAAAAGGGGGGGCGGATGCTGTTAGTATAACGGACTGTAGCGGCTTGGATCTGAAGATCGGACCCACAGCGCGGGCCGTGCATTGAGGTTCTTTCTGATCTCTAGACTGAATTGCAGCGCGCAGAAAAGGCTAGGACAAATCAACTTCATTGTCTTGTGGATGCCAGTTAAGAAGTTCTATAGTTGCTGTACGGCAAGGCAAACTTTTCCTCTTGCGGGACGTCGCTGGCAAACCAGTCTCAAAACATCACAGAGAACATCCTCGAGACCGGAAGCTCGGAAAGAACGCTTAAAGTAGACACATGATGGTGAAGGTGACTTTATTAATGTTCCTGGAGATGGTGAGACGACCCTTTGCCTCTACCACCAGTACCTAGACTTTATAAGCTGAGACAGCCCAATATGCGCGCCAGAAGCACACGATATCCGGGCCAACCAGGAACAGCCACATGGCAAGCACAAGACTGTTGATGAGCTTGGGAGCTTGTTGATGAAAGCCCGACGATAACACCAAGGTCTTGATGCAGAGCACAGGTTTGCTATCAAAGATGGTCAATGGTCGACTACAGGTAGGTGCAGTGACTTGGGTGAAGTCCTACCCTTTCGTGCTGATTAGTTTCTACAACCTACATCTTTCCGGGGTATCGGTGGAGCAGTCTGACATTGAATCAAGGGCTTCCGTCACAGTTCATACGACGAGAGACGAGTCGGCGATATTTCTGCGATCAATATGCGTGCACTTGTGCCAGCAGGTAACTCTGGAGTCTGGGGTGGCGTGTTCAGCACGTACGATTGCGCGATCAAGGGGATACGTCAAAAAGTAGATGCATGGAACGCCATCCGCGCAAGTTTCATGGCTGGAGGCTCCCTGGCAATCCGTGGCGGCTACTGCGCAGCCAGAACACGCGCTGTGAGGTGCGCCCCCTTGTATGTAGTGATCGAAGGCGTTGGAATCGGACTGACGGCGGGTACTACGAAGCTGGAGGTTGGTTCCTCACCTACATCATGATTTCTTTTGCTAATGATCGCTTATGTACCTACCACCCTCTCGAACAGCGAACTGGCAATGGCCTAAAACTATTTTCTCGTCGTCTCGAGCATTGAATCCGTATACTTTACCGCTCAAGATACCCGATATCTTCTATTTCAAAATGAATTCGCGCTCGCAATGTTGGTTTCTGGAGAATAGTCTGACATAATGTGATCAGTTGGACAAATACTCAAAAGTCCGACATCGCCGACCTTTATGTCGGAAGTGCTACTCGCAACCCGACTCGATGTATTGATCAGGTGGTGCTACGAAGCTGATATGGGGGGGGGGGGGGGGGAGGGCTACATGAAAGACGACCAGCTGCGAAAATTCCGCCCAACTCCACGTACCTAGACGCAAAGCAAAGCATGATGGAAGGAGGTCGGGCAAAGGTTGGGGCAATGAAAAACCACTGCGATTTGCTGTGCAAGTGTCTCACAAGCTGGTCATTGGGCGACAGCAGCGTCAGCAGGAGCGTCGACATGATTGGACTGCATCGAATTGTGTTCCTGCCGATCTTTCCGCAGAAGCTGACAACTGCAACAACAACACCATCGTGGAAGCCCCCACAGCGTATCACGAACAAGACGGATCCATCGATCCCTCTTGCGGCGGCAATCTCTGTTCGACGTTTAGGAAACATTTCCTTGAATGATGCTGCCTATCTCAGCCACTCAAAGGCTGCGGCATGAGTCGAAAGCACTGCCCTAGAAAGCGAAGCACCGTGGATGTTATCCCAGATTTTCAACCGCAAAAATCACTGTCGGCCAGTTTGCAGTCATTATCCGCATGCAGGCACAAGGGTCAGCGCCACAGATGCCTGTCTAGGCAGTAAGTACGACCAGTCAACTGCGCCCGACTAAATTTACATGGCTTGTCTTCGTGCTGGGTGAGATAGAATGCTACCCCACGCTGCAGCCCAGGGCCAAGTGATCCTGCCGATGAGGGCTTACGGCCATGTTCAATCAGTAGCCAACAGCGACCGGTGAAGAAGCGAGCTCACGGCTTGATCTAGCCGAGGTGTGTCCAGCCATGACTTCCCTCAGACGGAAGTCCTTCCCAGCAAGCTCGACCTGACTGCAGCGGTTCGTCCCATTGGGGCAACTTCATGTCCGACTATTTCGGGTCGACCCGACATCTAGTCGGCCAACACAGCCGCTCCCGCGAGTCCACCTTCGCGATGTCGGCGGGCTTCTTCCGCGCCCGTCCCATTGTGCTACTATTGACGCAGAAACGCGGCGTTCGACGGTCAGCTCCTAGCGACCGCATCCCTCCGTGCAACCCTGTCTTCCCGCGCACGCGATCCTTCCAGAGTACGGGGCATCAGGTGTGTAAAAAGGACGCCCCAGCGGCGGAGATGATCCGAGCTCCACTGCAAACCCCATTCATGCAGAAGAAGCCCAAGATGCAATGCAGCTGACCAGCCACGAGCCCCCGCTTTCCCGCGCGTTTGAGATAATACGACCCGTCTGTAGGGCTGATGCGGTGAGACTCGAAGGATGGAGTTGTGTGCTACCGTGGGCAGTGCCTGTTCGCTGGCACTGCCTTCATGTCAACCTGTGGCGTGAGTACAGACTCAAAGGTGAGGATTTGAGGCTATTATCGTGATTCTTCTCCCAGGTGATTGTTGCGATGTATAAAGTGAGACGGACGCTCCCGTCAAAATGCACTTTCCCTTCTTACAGAACATCAAGCACTTTTTATCATTCCAGTTTACTTTTCCTATCTCATTTCCTATTTCTCCTTTGTCTCTTCTGGGGGTTCATTGCTTTCGCATTTTCTTCGATCTAACCGCAACTCTTCAACAACCATTTTCCTTTCGACTTTGTATTGTGCTGTGTCTCATTCTTCGACTTAACCATATTCATCTCTTATTTCCCTTCACACATACACAACATGCCTTCCAGAACTTCCATCCGAAGCTTGTCCAGCTCATCTGGATCTACCCCATCCTTCCCAAGCCCCGACCTTTCCAGAAGAACATCCTTCCCGTTCCCCACCACAGACCTCGACAACATCCACTTCCCCCGGGCATGGGAGGCTGCATGGGACGCCGCAGGCCAGTCCAGTTTCGAGCGAGCCCAGGCTTTCCTCTTCTTCTACCGAGGCGACGATGTCGCCATCAACACCGAACTCAGATGCATTGCCTCCAACCCTAAGCACAGAGATGTCGCATCTCTGGCTGCTGCGGTACAGCAGCGCGTTTTCAGCAACCGCCATGCCAGCTTCAACACGAGCCCACTCCTACAATGGGTGCGCTTCATGCTCATCAAGAGCCAAGCGCTCATTCCTTCCAAGACCAAGTCTGTCCGCGACTTCTTCTTCGACCCTTCAGTCGCTCGCAATCTCCCTCAACTCGCCGAAGATTCTGTTGAATACTCTTATCCAGCCGCCCCCCTCAAGGTCATGATCGTTGGCGGTGGTCCGACCGGTCTCGCATCGGCAATCGCACTAGCAGAGAAAGCCGGAACGAAGGTCGAAGTTCACGTCTACGAGGGTCGATGGGTCCAGCAGTCGGGCAGCTCGTTCGTCAACTACCCACCGGGCGCTCGCCGCCGCGACCAAGTTGTCACCCTCCAGGACTCTGTCACCGATCTCATGAGCGAACGAACCAGACTCGCCGTCTCTGGTGGCTGTCCCGAGCGAGTCTGGCCAGGGTCGAGCAACCTTCAAATCCGCAAGCTCGAAGACGGTCTCCTTCGTCGCGCCCAAGACAGCCAGTTCCGCGACCTTATCTTTCTGCACGCAAGCCAGGTCCGCAGGGAAAACCTCGCACAGTATGGCGACTTCCACATCATGCTTGGTGCGGATGGCGCTGGATCCTGGCTTCGCGGTTCTTACTTCGAGGGACAAGAGTCGGTTGTCGGCAAGAGCTACGCCCTCGGGGTGGCCTTCGACAGACCCCGAGGTCTACCTCGCTCTCAGCCTATCAACGTCTTCCTGACAATGGGTCAGACGCGTTATCTGCTCAATGCAAGCGACTTCGACGGCACGGGATACCTGAACATGCAGCTTACTGAAGCTGAGTGGGACCAGATGGTCTCTGTTGACGGCCACCCATGCACCTTTGGTCAGCCTAGCTGCCTAGAAGTGGGCGGTCGTCTGCCCGAGGGGTTCCAAGAGAACCAAGTCTTCGCTCCGTCCCGCGATCCCAACAGTCCCCTTTGGAAGGCCATTCTCGACGGCCTCGAACTCTATGGCTTCAAGGAATGCGAAGTCACCAACATCGTCCGCATTCCAATCGTCGTCCGCAGGATCAACAAGGCGGTCGAGCAGTTGCCTCAATGCGACTCTTCAGCCCTCCACCGCCCCCACGGGCTTGTTGCACTAGCCGGTGACGCTGCCATGACAGTCCACTTCTGGCCAGGCCGCGGTGCCAACTCAGGCATGAAGGCCGGTATTGCATGGGCCGATGAGGTTGCCCAAGCTCTGAACCGGGGCCACCTCGTTGGCCTGCAAGTCGGATCTCTCGGGATGTACGACGACTTCCTCCAGAAGCTGCAGCAGCGCGAGCACGGCGGTCGCAGTCTGCCCATTGTCAAGCAATCTGGCGACCCGAACATGATGGCCTGGCTGATGGAGAATGCCCGCCTCATCCCACACCACGTCGCCATGGAGTGGCTCGTCGGCACAATGCGCCGCGATGCCGTTCGCATCCAGCAGCGTCCAGACTGGGCTTTCGAACAGGAGACCAACCTCGAGTACCAGCTCCGTGATATCCTGGAGAAGATGGATCCCATTAGTCTTCAGGAGATGGCCGCTACCTTCCCCTGGCCCACAAGAGAGATGGCTGGAGCTGAGGTCATGCCAATGCGGTCGGTCGTTGATGCTTGCCTCAGACAAGACGGCAGCAAGCAGAAGGAGATTCTCAAGTTGGAGAAGGAAGCCAAGGCGAAGAGGCAAGAGCGGAAGAAAAAGTCTAAGAGCGCGGAGATCACAATGTCGGGAGCTGATCTGTCTCCTGCCTTCTTGGCTACGATGGCGGGAGCCACGAAGCCTGCGCCGCGACAACGCTCTTGGAGGCCGTTCAGCTTCAGCAGGACCCCGCAAAGTGTCCAGGGATGATTTGAAGGTCTGTATGAATAATGAAATCAACGGGTCAAGGTGCATTCAGCATTGGAAAGCATTGTCTGGGTTTTGGGAAGAGGCATCTGGGGTTCTTGGACGAATGGGCCGGAGGTTGCATCAAAAATGTTTTTCAGTCGCTCCTTAGTAGCTTTCACAATTCGACAATCATAGCAAAATCCAAGAAGTGCGCAGATGACTAGGGGAGTGATGGTGAATCTGTCTTCTGTTCCGAGAGGGTTCCTTTGTCCTCGTGACTCTACGGTACAAGTGTCCAGTCGTCGCCACCCAAAGCCCGAGTGTGTCGGTCAACTGTTCACCTTGTAAAAGCTAGATTTAATGCCCATCAGGTCGTCTGCTTCTAAATTATTTCCTGTTGTTACCATGATTCTGTAGTGCTGAGGTTCCCACCTAGCCACTGAACACGCGACTAGATCGATCTGACGCTGTTCTTAGACGCAGGCAGTAGAATCTAGGCTTTATAACAATAGACGCTTTTCGGTTGAAACTCAGGGAAATTGGTTTTGCATTCGTCGCCGTTATTGATCCAAAACGCGTTGTTGCGGACAGGAGTAGCGCTTCCTTGAACAGGGCCATTAACCGTAATAATGTACCTAGAACGGTAACCGTCTGAGGTGACTCGCAATACTCCAGACGTGGAGCCGGCGGAGGGAGGAGCATAGTAGACATATACATGATCGTCGCTTACAGTCTCATATCTCGGGCCGACTTTGGCGGTGAAAAAGAACTATGCCGTTTGGTTCGCTGTTTGGGTTGGGAGCTTGAGCGCAAGTGGCCTGAGCCCAAGCATGTGCTACGAGAAATGAGAAGAGAATGATTTGCATCATTTTAAAGATTCCGTATTGTTCGGGTGAACTCAATAATGGAACACTCAAAGAGCAACAGAGGGGAGGTAATCAGATCCACGATGGGTTTAGAGGCTCCCGTGAGACTTGTAGTCCTCAACTGTCACGAGCAAGCAAAAGCAAATGTCTGGAGTCCACTGACAATTGATTACAAGCACTTTTCCTAGTCTCTGTACAGCCACTATCTCCACCAGGAAACAATGACCCGAAGTATAAATGAGGGTGTTAGAATAGGTTAGGCTGTGTCTTCACACTTGCCCAGACCGCCAAGTAATCTCCAGTCGAGCAGTCTGGCAATGGTTGCGAGTCAGCCCCCAATCCCGTGAGGTCCGCCTCGCCAGTTTAACGATAGTCTAAGATAATGCACCGCAGGGACGTTCGGCGGTTAAGCTTGGATCGCCGCCTGCATCATCGGGTTAGTCAGCTAATCAAATTTCATACAGTCCCTCATTCAAAGGCTGCGACTGTGGTCTTGTCGGTAGTGACAAGAGCATATTGAACTGCGAATGCTCTGACCTGAGGGGCTCGAAGCGGCCAACTACGTACGATCTGAGTGAGTTATGTTCCCGTCAAGTGTCTTGAGCTTTCTGACTTTGAGAAGATCAGTGCTTGACGAACCATGGAGGCCATCTTCAATGCCCTTAGCTCAGAGCTAGGTAACCTCTGTCGACTTGGCATATATTCACTTGCGGTTGGTTCGTGGATCATGAGGACGATTCAGTCGTTGGAACCCATCCTTGGAATACGATGTCACATTTCAAATAGAGTTGATATACCATATCTTCAAGATTGAAATTCAATATCATTAGTACCAAGTATTGCGTTAATTAATAAGGCCCTTGCGGCGAGAGGAGAACTCCTGTCACAGACATCCCCATCGTCAAATAGCGTGAACGGCCGTAGGCCGAACTCTATTGGATATGGGTTAGGATGCTGCGTTATTACTGAGAGAGCATACAAGGAACCCAATTAGCGAAGGCTTGATCTCATCATGAAAGTCAAAAACTTGATGTTTGACGTACGAAATAACAAGGCCTAGACATCAAGGTTTCGGTTGATGATTTGGATACTAAAGCTTCTCCCTGCGATTAAACTGAACTCAGTCATCGAATAATCATTTACCTAGATACCCGGTTCCTCGTTCAAACCTACGAGCTGAAGCGGCAAGTGAATCCACGGCCTCCAATAACTGCCTAGCAACTCATCTATCACCTCAACAATGTCTCTACCCCATCCTTCAAGAAACCAGTGATTATCTAAGGTATGCAGAAACGCGCCAAAATGCGCAAAGAGGGCAAGCGACTGAGGTTGTCGTTGATGCAGTAATGTGAAGTACTGCTGAGGCGCAAAATGAATAAACGCCATTGGCCCTGCCCAGGCCCTATTAATTTCGCACTTTTGCAGCGTCTCAGCGTCCATCGTGCTAAAGTGCATAGTGTACATCCGACATTTTCTCAGGGTCAACAGGACCTGTTCGTAGATATCGGCGTTGTTACTATCCTTCCACGCCTCTCTTAGTAGACAGAGTTCCTGGTCCATTGAATCCAAGACACGACTGTCAGGGTTCAACTCATGCCAGTTTTCAAGGCTTAAGACGCTCCTCAGTCTCCCCTCACGTAGGAAGTCGTAATACGGCGCTAATACGGCATCGACTCCGCGCAACATTGGGATCCATTCGACGCCTAATACTCTATCCTTACGAAGACGGGGCGAATTCCGCTCAACGCTATCGGCAAGTTGCCTCGAGATGCGGAAAACGTACAAAAGGTTTAAAAGAGACCAGGCAAGCAAACCTTCACTTCTTTCTTGGGTGAGATTATTGACACAGTCGTGAAATCCCGCGAGGGACTTCTCGTGATGTTGTGTAGCTTTCATAACATAAGGACTGTTATGGGACCCTTCTAGATAGGCCATATGCAAAGCAGCCAAGCTGAGGATTGCCTGCGCCACGAAAGATTCCTGGAAGCTGATCTGTGGAATTGTTACCTGCCACAGCGAGTCAACTCCAGGAGTAATATTAACGCTGGTAGATATCGTCCAGTGGTGCAGTAAGGCTAAATCCCCCAGTCCAAAGTTTAGCGGAGTAGGAATGGAACTTTGCGATGCACAATAGATGGTATCCGGGTTATCTGCAGGCGTTGGTAGTTGAGCCACGCGGTGGCTTAGATCCGGAATGTTTAGAGCTACCGGCGATTGAGCCGACGAGACTTCATGCAGAACTTCGGGGGTCTCATGGGCTTCAGGTCGAAGTTCCTCAGGGTACTTGCACAGAACCTCTCGCCGGACACAAGATCGGCAGTTTGGACGTTCCTCGCCGCACTGCCGTATCGCATCAGCAGTTGTACGTAGACAATATTGGTGGGCATGTAACCTTCACACGGCGTTTTCGACAATCGAGGCACCCGGTCTTTGACTTTTTGTGCGGTCTCCGTCTTTGTGACGATGGCGGGCCGGCCGGTTCCCCAGGCGACCTCGTGTGCTGATCGGGGTGCTGATCGGGGTGCTGATCGGGGTGCTGGTCGGGGCTCATGACTGTGAGACGACGCGAATTGAGTTGGGAGCGGAACAAAGACGCAGAAGGAAAAGCGAGCGCGGAGAACGAGAACGAGGGGCAGCGAATAAGTACGAGCTAGACACGACATGTTGGTGTTAGCATGTTGACAGTGCGCACTTGGCAGCGGGGCAGTATCCAACGCCCTTTTGACTGCGCCAATGTTAGTAACTATTGCGCTGTCAGAGTCCGACGGGAATACGAAAAACACTCAGCTGAACGAACTTGCTAGTGGCGCTACCGGGTCTTAGACGAGGAAGCCCTTGCAACAATAGCAGGTCGATTCAGGGGCTTCCTCGCCACCCAGTCAAACCAACCGCGGCGTGAGATACCAACACAAAAGAGATCACATAATCATGTGGATAGCGGCCGGGACTAATGAAAAAGTAGGAAGTCAAAAGAGATCCTTCGAAAACGGGCAGCTGAAGTGCGGGGGGGCTTATGCCTGACACGCAAAACATATGCATCTCATGCATCTTATCCCCGAAGTTAGACCGTGTTGCAAAATTCACGGGGTAGCTACAACAGCACAGTTGATCATAGAGCCTTGAATTTACCGACACGATTGAACAAAACATAGGCACGCGAAAGAAATGAATAAGAAACATTGGCATATAAACATTCAATCTATTCTCGATTGCTCTCTCGTCGGCGACGGGATCTGCGTGTTAACTGACAGATATCCAGAGTGATGGCGACGAATATCTTGTAGCCTGCCATTCTTCATGTCTTAAATTCTCAACTCGATTTCGTCGTTTTCCCTCTCCAAGCACGAACTTGCTGCATGAGATGTTCGCGGATCCGCTTCGATAATTCCGCCCCGCTTGCGATCCTCGAGTTGCTCGACATACCACACGGCGAAGATAGCCATGATTACGGCCATAGCTAGGCATGGAGTATGCACAGCGAAACCTCGTGAGAGATGTGAAAGCCGCTCTCCCCTTGCAAATAATCAATGACTCGAAATATGTTCCCAACAAGGATAGTGCCGCTCGCAACATGAAGCACGGACAAACACCGCTTCCACAGAATCAGCCCGAGATAAACAGCGTGTTAGGCTTTTAACGAAGCAGCCATGGAAAAGGACAGAAGCAAAAACTAAAAAGCCAAACACAATAATTTAAAAAAAAAAAAAAAACTCTAAAAAAAAACTCCCATATTGATAACTTTGTCGCTAATCTCATAGAGCTCTAAGGTTCCCATGACGACGATAGCGTCGTGCTGAATGAGCGATCGCGCAGAAGCGGGTCGTAAGCTATGCGCAGTGCACTGTTTCTGGGGAACGAACTGTAAACGAGGTGTGGAGCCTGTCGACGAGGGCTAAACGAACAACATCGTTGACAGACCCACAACATCGTTGATAGACCAAACTCGGAAGCTTTCGCATCGTGGAACATACGTACTGTCGGATACAGGCCCAGCTCCTTTTGCCCACCAAAATATGAGCAAGTAGTCGAGTAAGCTGTGTGTGTGCGACAAAGCAAGGTCTGGCACTGACAGAGTAATGACCAAAGTGAGACGAAGCGCAATTCGCTTGCATGTGAGAATGGGCTTACTGACAAATTGATCATCAATGAAATACCTATGAACTGTGACATCGTGTCATAGCACTACTGATTTACTTGAGACTTCGGAGCCGATTGAACATGGCAAGAATCTCGCCCGAGTTCATCTCCAAAGCCGTATTGCCATTTACCAGCCACTGGCCTTCTACATGCCTCTCCTGGGCAACTTCCTTCCTCGTGCCGGTGTGAACTGCCGACCTCAAGCTCTTCACGATGCCGGCACTCGGATACGCGAACAGCCCAAACATGCCTGCGCCGCTCTTGGCCGCCAAGCTCGCGGCGCCCTTCCCGAATCCCTTGAGGGCTCCAACGGCCCCTTGCGTTTCAGCTCCCCTGACTGGCTCCATCACCAAGTCGCTCAGACCATCGACGAAACCAAAGGCAAAGGTTTTCCCTGCAACTGCGGCTCCGCTCTTTGCGTCGGTGATCGGTCCGTGATCGCGGATATTGGTGCCGAGGTGCTTGGGGACTGATCGCATTCCCTCAGTAATGGCGAGGGGAATATCGACCAGCATTCCCTTGGCAGCATTCGGCGCGATCATCCCGATACTCTTCGCTGATGCGCCAGCCACCTTTCCCGCCATCGAACGTTGGCTCTTGCCTTTGCTGTTCCCGCTTGAAGCAGACATGACCGAAAGTGCATCCTCAGAGAGTTTGTCTTTTGGAACTTCACCGCTGCCGCCGTCTGCCTTATGTTTCAGCTCCCGTGCTCGACGACGTTTCTCCTCATGGAACTCTTCAATGGGCTTAGTGACCATTCCCGTTATGCAACCGGTCATGTCCACTGCCGTCGCTAACACTGCCGATGCGCCGCCAGAGATTGGGTCCCAGCGCGTAACGTCGATCGTGATCGGTTTGGTCTGATACCTGTTCCGCAGCACGTCAGCTATTTCAACCTTCTGTCAATTTGAAATCAAAAGGGCACTTACATTGAAAGCTGCTTAAGTTGTACCGCCTCGTGCGACATGAGGACTTCAGCCGCTGCCTTTGACAGTTTCATGGGTCTCTTGGATTTGGTGTATTTCCATACAGCGGGTTGGCTCGGAATAAGGTCACACTGCATGCGCTCTAGAGGAAGCTGTCGCCACCACGAATCCACGGCAGCCTGGACGCCGTCTTCAGTCTCCATCTGCGCAGCGATGCCTTGCGCCGCGGCGACGGCTTGCTGCGAGAGACAGTATCTCATAGCTGCGGCGAGGTTCTCTGGGCTGAGTTGCTTGTGAGGGATGGGCTTCGGTCCAGCGCCCGCATTGGCAACCATGTCACCCCAGAATGGCTGACTGCAATTACAAAAATTAGCTCAACTCGGTGTCTCTAGAATATCCCACGGCTCGATCTGGGCTCTTGCTTGGCTCTTACTCTCCAAAAAAGGGAACGATTGTCGTGGGCTTCCCGTTTCGTAGCCCGCACGCTGTAGTTCCAGCTCCTCCGTGATGCACCACAGCTGCCACATGCTGAAAAAGCCATTCATGTGGACAGTCGCCGATCCAATAAATGGATTGGCTTTCAGAACCACCCAGGTCGGACCAACCCTTCGAGATGATGGCTCGAACGCCTGCGGTACGAACCGCATCGAGTATTACGTTGATGATACGCTTGGGGTCTTCAAGCACGATGCTGCCGAAGCCAATGTAAACTGGCGGAGGGCCGGCCGCAAGGAATTGCGCCAGATCTTCTGGTGGAGTGTACCGAGGAGCGCTGCGAAAGAAAAAGCCGCAGACATCTAGAAAATAATCAGTTAGTGAAGTTCTTTGGATCTTGTAGTCAGATAGTGGATGAGTCTCACCGATATGCGATCCCCAGTCCTTTGGTTTGGGGATCAGAGCGGGAGACCAGCAATACGTAAACGGCACTTTCAAAGCCTCCGCCAGCATGGGGCCGTCGAACATGGCAATATGCTCCAAGCCGATTCTGTCTCGCCACTTATTTACAACATCTCCGAGCCTGCAAGAACCGATCCGATCAGTAAAGCTCCGTGGGATTTCGTCGAAGGGGCTAAGTTGAGTCTCCCTAGAAGCTTACCCTTGCCATGTCAAAGTGTCAACCACGCCGTATGAAATGAAGTTGGCCACACCACGGTCACCACCAGTATTCTTCAAGTTCGCCAGCGGATGAGGAAATTCTGCCGTGCTTGTCCAAGGCATGGTGAACATCAGATGCACCGGGATACCGAGTGCCTGCGCGCAATGGACGTGGGCAAAGCTAGGAGGGTTAGAGATTATTGCATCTGCAATAAATGGCGCTCCAGTGGTAGTATCCGGCCTGATACAAGCATCCCAGAAGCCCTCAAGCATTTCCTGGACCATCTCGCGTTTCTGGCTAATCTCCCCGGATTCAAGACTCTTCATGCTCGGAATGAGACCCGGATTCTTGACCATGTAAGCCATTAGAGCCGCCGGGTCGCCCCCAACACCATAGAACTCCAAGCCTGTATCTCTGACGAACTTTTCGAACAGATCGTGGGTGGCGAGCCGTACTCGGTGACCGCGCCTTTTCATTTCGGCACCTAGTGCAACGAACGGCTGGACGTCGCCCCGGCTTCCCACGACTTGTATCAGAACATTAAGGCTACAAGGGTGCTTGCCACCAGAGTCCTCTAGTTCTTGCATATACGGCGGTGGTGCCGGTTCGGGAGAAGGTGCTCCTGACGGCGGAAGCCGCCTTTTGTCGCTATTCTCACGATAGATCATGCTGATCGCCCGCGCGAGCTTGGAGTCGCAGTCAATATCAACACGGCCATCGTCTTCTACAAATGCTCGTTAGCCTTGTACACGCAATTTGAGGGCTCTAAGTTACCTCTGACTTGAGTGCCACCACCCCATAATTCGCTAGGCGCCGGAGACGGCGCGCTGTCCTCGTCGAAACGCAGGTTTTGATGATGCAGGTTGCCTCGTAGGTCACCAGTACTGGCTGCTCTCGATACCGTGTGGAAGTCGTCGCCCACTAGTTCGTAGCGGATCGTCCGTCGCTTTTCACCCATGACTCCAGGTAATGCGGTCGTCTGATGTCTCTACTGGACGAGGTAGCGATTTCGTGTGGAAAGTGTCGCAGCTGGGACATTTCAAAGATCTCTTGGACGTCGCAACAGAACATTGCACATTCGAAGAGTTAAGACAAGTATGCCATAACCGAATAAACAGCTTGAAGCCAACTGACGAACGAGGTAATGCGCTTCTCTCGTAGCCGGCCTGGAAGGTTATGGTACATACGCGAGGGTGTCCCCTGTTCGGTGACGTTCAGCAAGATACATTTCCCTTCAATGGATCCTAGCGCGTCGTTCCTGCTTCGTATCTCGTTTATTGCACCGCATTCAGCCTACGCTAAACCCAAAACGAACACTGTATGCGCCCAAGGACGTGTTTTGACCTCGTTCCCGGGGTGGCCACCAACACAATTTTCAGGTGATCACAAGGCCGTCGGTACAAAAATGGATCTCCGGGGACAGTCCCAGTGACCTAGTAGTTACAACGCTAGACGTACGAGTTGATAGAAAGGAGACGAATGGAGATAAATGGATACATAAATAAACCTTTTCAATGCTTCTCGTTCCTTCCCCAGAAAGCTCTAAAGCCCGGCAGAATCCGAAGCCTCTGATAGGATAGTTCACACAACGATGCTCCCGGTCCCAGAAGACTCGGGCTACTCCACCACATCGACCCTGACCTACATCTCGAGGCCGAAGAAGCAGAAACAACGCAACAGAAGCACTGGCAAGAGAATACCGCATAGAAAGTCGAGAAAAGGCTGCAAGCCTTGCAAAGACAGGAAGGTCAAAGTATACTTCAAACCTAACTATCAGCCATTCTGAGCGTTGTTGTTCCTGACTGGCTACTCCCAGTGTGATGAGCTTCATCCATCGTGTTCCAGATGCGATAAACTCGACATCGAGTGCGAACACCCACATCTTCAGAGAGCATCCTCACCCAATAATCATTACTCATTCCACAATGTCTTCCTTGAGTTGAGGCCTTCTTCGAGCCTTTCCACCGGTGTTCCCACAGATCTCGACCTCCTACAACTGGAATTGCTGCATACATGGGGAACCTTTACCTACACGACCATGCCATGGTCGCCAGCCCTCACAGACTTCTGGAGAGTGACCGTATTGAGTTTTGCACTCAAGCACGGCTACCTAATGCGATCTCTCCTGGCCATTCCTGCTCTCCATCTAGCGCACCTACGACCGGAACAAACAGGCTTCTACCTCTCCGCTGCTCTTGAACATCATTTGGTCGCCTCAGAAGCTGTAAGAGTCTTGCTCAAAAACGTCCCGGAGGAAAACGGCGTTCCTCTTTTTCTCTTCTCTGCGTTAAGCTTAATTATTGGTTCGTACAGGGCACTTTCTTTTCTACTTGTGTGCAGTACTCAGTAATAGTGGCTGGCAAGCACGGTTTGCGGCAGTTCTGGCAACTCCCCATAGACCTCCCAAAGAGGCCACCTCAGACGAGAATGCCAGCTACCATGACCTTTTAGTGGTTTTGAAGGGCACGAAGGGTATCCTAGAGACCACATGGGACAGCCTTCCGAACAGCCCTTTAGCGCCACTAATCAACTTGGGCTCGAAAAGAGTGATTCTACAACAGCCAAATTTCCGACTCAAACGGGATATAACATACATCAGCACCTCTCTTGATGGTCTTCAAGTCCGTCTCAACTCACAAGAGATGGATTTGGCCGACTTGCAAACATACAACAAGGTTATAGACGCTCTTCGCGATGCCACGAGCTTGGTGCATCTCTGGGAAGTCCCAGACGCGATGTTCTGGGTGTATAGGTCTCTGGAGTACTTTGCACCCTTGCTTGAGTCACGAACACAGGAAGCCTTGGTCCTCATGGCCCATTTTGCCGTTCTGCTAAAGAGCTGCGAGACAAAGTGGTGGACGCAGGGATGGGCAGCCCGCATCATGTCCGGCGTGTATCAACACCTGGATGACGACCATAAGTTGTGGATTTATGGCCCGATGCTGAGATAGGGTTCGTGCTTCCGATGTATTAGTCGATTTCTTAGGCTGAATTGGATGTCAGAATTGCCATGCTATGACCAGCGAGAGCGTCGCTGTGAGCGAACAATGAGGATATTTGATCTTTCCTAGTTGGCGGATTACAAGTTCTAGCCGATCATGAGCCTGGGCTGATTTGTTTGTTCAAGAGCACCGAATGGTTTCATTTTCCATTTCCTCCACAGCTCTAAATTTGGCCACCAATCGTGTATTTCAGCACGAGGCCGCCACCGAACAACAAGACGTTCCCAGCCACTGGCCCCATCATACCAAGAATACTGAACGGCACCAGCCACTTGACATCCACAGGCTGCCGGACAGCATGATAAAGATACCATGGCGAGGTGACGGTGAGCCACGTTGAGACCCAAAAGTAGCCTACAATCTTGTGCAACAGTCGGACTTTCTTAGAATCCTCTACACCTGCAAAGCGGCGCCACACTTCCTGGAACCCGTCTTCAATCATGATAGCCACAGCAAATGAGCCAAAGAAGGCCAATGTCGGTGCTTTAAGAGATGGCTCCCAGCAGAACATGTCGAGCATAACGTGGACTAGACCCGAGCCCATGAACACTAGAGCGATATTGAGATAACGCTCTAGACGAGAGGGTCGAGGAAGGCGCAAGAGGTCTCGGCAGATGTAGTTGCTGACTGACGTGAGAAACCAACGACAGTGTTGGTGCCAAAAGACGCTTCGCATGCTTTAAGTTACAAGACTTCAACGCAAAGACTGTGTGGGATCTACTCACCTCCAAAAAGCTCGAATCGTGTATGCATCCCAGATGCTTCCAAATAGAGGCGGCCAGTCCTCCGGAGATGCCATACCACCCAGAACAGAAACTACTGATAGCACTCGATAGACGATGTCCATTGTCACCCGAGCCGGGGCTAGCCAGGAGATCAAGCCAACAGCGACGCGAGCTCCCCACTGCTCCGCGTTGGCGTTGAAGTACAGGAACTCTTTACCGGGACCGAAGAGCTTCTCCGCGTCTTCCGGTGACGTATCCAAGGAAGAAACATACGTGAAGTCGAGAAAGAGGTACTGCCAGAAGATGATCTGCAACTGTCGCGCCACCCACGGCCCTTTGCGCAATTTTCCGTTCTCGGTATGCTTGTCGAGGCTTTGTGGAGCCGCATTAATACGTGAGATCTGCCATGGCGTGCCGATGCCTCGCAAGTTGAACATTAACCCAATGACGCCCCGAAGTTTGTGAACAAGCCCATCCGACGGCTGGTAAATATTTCCCTTCATGAAATCGCCGGTATCGAGACGCGTGAGAACGAGGAAATTGCAGCTTTGCAAGAGGACGAGACAGAGCTGTCCCATGGCAACGGTGTTGAGAACATAACTCGTTGTTATACCAGACAGCTGCACGAGTAAATGTCTAGCGATGAAGGGGACGACGGAGATCCAGGCGTATCTTATCACGGAGCTAGGGCCAGATTTAGGCGTCGAGATGAGGATTAACGCCGAAGGGACGCAAACGCCGAGAAGGAGGAGTGCCGCCTTCGCGCAGCTGATGGCGGGGGGTTCTCGGTCGAGAGGCGCCATCATCGGGTCTGACATGGCATTTCGAGTCGATTTAGTATCGTGGGCGGTGAGATGCGCACGAGCAAAGTTTGAAAATGGCTGGAGAGCGCGTGTCGTCTTTTTATCCTGTTCCCCTGACTAGGTAGTGTGGGGGCAGGACAGGGAACACTGAAAACGGGCGCTCCACGTTGGCTGTCACTGTTTCTTTCGAACCCTTTCAGTGCTCGAAGGAAGACGCGCTATGGGACTTTTGGTCCCTAGGATCCTCGCGCGCTTTTCCCAAATGACCCTAGTTTGACTTCGCAAGTGCTTATCCCAGCGGCTTTCTGGAGCTGTGTTTGCTGGAATTGTGGCAGACGCCAAGGCCCACATCAGTAAATTGCCATTGTCCCGTCCAAGCCAAGGCCATTGTCGTCTTCCCAGAGAAGACTCAGAATCAGATCTTCTCCGCCAAAATCCAGTGTCCCGAGATCGAGCTGAGAAGTGAGTAGGTTCTCGGTCGCAACTGTAGCTCCTGCATGCATGTTGTAGTTGTGATCTCTGGCATGGATCCGCGTTCCAGCATCGTGCCGGCTACTCTCCGGGCTGCTCGACGTGTTGATCGAGAGCAGTCGTTCGACATACGGAGCAGCGGACTTGTCTCGTCCACTCGAATAATGGGTTCGGTAAGTTTCCAGAGCATGCGAGAAGCTCGTTAAGACGCGATGATACTGTCCTGCTTGCGGACTCAGACGTCCAAGGAACTCCAGTACTCGCAGCGTGTTGCGAAATGCGGCGCGGTTATTTGGTCCGGTGTCTTGGTCAAGTAGTGAGAATCCAAGAATGAGACCCGCGGCAAATAGCCAAGCCCTGACGATTTATCAAGATTAGCAGGGCATATCTTAATGCATTATGGTTGCAACATACTTGAGGATGCACATGTTTCCCATGATCACGCCAGTGTCTAGTGCATCGGAGCACATCTCAGCCATGTATGCGGCGGCATCGACGCAAACTTTGGCCAGCTCCGCCGTCTTTTCGTTGTCTTCATTTACGAGACAACCGTCAGTCGTCACCCTCGCCTCGACTTGGCCATCAATCTGAGGCATGATATGCTGGATGAGAAACTCTCGTGTCGTCGTAATTATCCCAAAGTAGTACGTGCAAGCGACGTGAATGTTGCCGATTGTCGTCTCTCGGTGCGACGACGGCCGGGCTCTGGCGGATGCATGTCTTAGCCCTTGGCGCAGTGCCAAGGGTAGGTTGCTGCTCCAATCGCGGATCTCCTCTAGAAAGTCTTCGGCTACCTCGAGACCGAGATCGCCTTTGTCCGTGAGCTTCTCTACTATTCGATTCATTATTGGGGAGAACTGGCAGGCTGCTGCGACCGATTGGCTCCGATGGTTGGCGGCGACAGGAATGGTTGACGGGCCCCCAATATTGCGCCGCGGCAGACTGCTGGTGGGTCTTCCGAGAATTGAGCTGCAGACGACGTCGAACAGTCGGATGCTACGGTGTATGCGAGATCTGTGATGGATTGTCAGGGCCGAGGGACATAGTTGGGCTTGGAATAACTCACCTCAAGCTCCGCTCCGCTTCCGACAGGGACTGGAACTGGTCAGACATGTGCAGACCCAAGACTGAGGCCGCCTTGGTCGCGACGCCGAGATACATGAACGCAGCGTTGCGACGGCAGGCACCAAACATGTAGAATGCCATCAACACGAACCCCCGCGCCATATTCAGCGTGAGATCTGTCAAGAAGCCCTGGAATGAGAGCTTGCGCGCTTGAGAGAAGTACTGGAATGCCTTGGGCATGTCTTCAGGGCGACCTCGACATTGCGCGCCGATGGCAATCATCATGTACAGACACACCCGGCCCTCAACGTCTGTGGCGAAGCCGGTGCTGGAACTGCTGACGCTCTTCTCACGCGGGTGAGTTGCATCCACGAGAGTGTCGACCTCGGATTTGTCGAAGAGGTCTAGAAGACCGCTCGACTGCAGAAGAAGTGAGTTGGCTACTTGACGAAGATGAGTGAGGCACACTCACGGCATCCGAGAAGAGTTGGATTAGTTCAAGCTTCTCTTCGTCACTCATATCATCCTGGAAGCTGTCTGGTTGCTGAAGCGGCACCTGCGCCTCGAACATTCGGTGGCCATTGTGGCTGATGGTGAAACCATTGGAACCGAGGATACTGCTCAAACTACCCCTGAGAAACTGAAGAAAAGAGATGGCTGAGGCGTTGCCGACAAACACTGATACACAGAACGATTGTTAGCTAGTATCAATTAAACGAAAAGCTGCCCAAAGAAGTTGGGTTCTCGATCATACCCTTCTCTCCGCTGCATGTGTGCATCATGACAGGTCGAGGACCGGGCGGTGCACTCGTCTTGTTCGAGTCCCTTGCATTCGAACCAGCATCACGGCCTCGCGATGGCGGTTTCGCGCGCCGTTGTCTCGGTGAACTTCGCCCATCACTGCGACTCCCCAAACTGCCTGGCGAAGTTTGTCGCTGATCCGTCCTGCGACGCGTTCTCGCGCGTTCAGAATATTCGCACGATGCCCCGTTGCCCCGATTCACGCAGGGCAAACACGGCGATCCTCCGTCGCATCGTTTCTTGGTGGAGCGGCACGCGATGCATGCCTCAGCCGACCGCTTCCGGTCCTCCGGTCTAACCGGTGGGCGGCCCATAATGTACTGAAGGTAGGCGGGCCCGTTCAGGCCGAGCGGGTACGGGAATTGTGGGGCCGGGCGCTGACGCTGAAAGTCGATGTTCTTTTGGAGAAGTGCGGTGGTGCAATTGCCGCTTGACAATTTCAACCGAAAAGACGTATGATGTTGCAATTATTCGGATAGGAAAATGGCCCGCCAGAAATCATTCTAGGAGGAGAAAGACCCTGTAAGACCGCAACGCCGTAAATCCGTATGTCAGCGGCGGAAGAGATAACTTAGTGAAGCGCCATTGGAAGATGGCTTATCTGAGGATATTGGGGGGGGGGGGGGTCGTTGACCGGGATCTTTGCACTTTGTGGGTGCTCGGCCCGCGCACCAACCTCCCCATCCGCAGGTTTGTTGGTAATGCGGCACATACGAATGGAGCTGATTTACTAGCGGCTAGGTTAGCTAGGAGTTGGCATTGTTCATCGCTATTTAGTGTGAATTAAGAATGTCATTTCGCAACCTAAACCACGATTTCGGCCGGCGCTCGGTCCGGAATGGCAATACCGGGGGATAAGTTGGAGAGGCTTATCGCCACATGGGACGATCATGCGTAGTTGTCTTGATGTCAACTATGGGGAATATTTATTGCACTTGATACCCATCCTGACTTGAAGCGCGCTCCAGCTTCCAACTTGATCTTCAAGTACCGCACCGTGTCAGAACACAGCCTTCTCAATCATGCCTTACGCCGACATCACCAAGCCTCCCAAGCCTCTGCCTCAAAATCATCTTTCGGCTGTGGCGGAAGGCATTTCTCTGCTTCTGCCACTGTCACGGCGAGGAACTGGCCCCGGCCTTATCCTTCTTGTGCCCTCCCTTGACAAAGCGCTCGCTATCGAAGAAGGTGTACCCTCTTTGCCAGTGAAATGGGCTGAAGAGGGGTATACCGTTGTAGCTATTGAGCAAGGAGCGTTGAAAGGAAACGCACTGCAGGCTTTGCAGGCGGCAACAACAGCTCTCAAAGGCAGCGATAAATGCGAACCCAAAGACGTCGTGGGTCTTGCTGGTAAGTCAATCAATACGTGCTTTGTCGTTGAGTTGCAGTGTCTGACACAGTTACAGCGTATGATCCAGAGATGTGGAACACGATTGCAACACCAATCTCAGAGTTCCCCGAGATCGTCAGTGCTGTGGTTTATGCGAACAGCTCCGACAAGAAGTTTCTAGCACCATCGCCGGTACCTGTAGCATTCCACTTTGCTGGGAAGTCTGAAGGTGACGCCGAGCGATCAAGCACCCGCATGGAGTACTTCTACCCAGCAGCAAAGTCTCACAAGTTCGCGATGCCGTTTCAGGACCATTTCCACTACAACACCGAGGCCCTCTCTCATCCCCGCAATCTCACACTTCTGAAAGGGCAGATGAAGAGCCCGATATTTGATTTGGAGGCCATTTGGGATGAGCACACGTGGTATGAGTTTGCGGATAGATCAGTAGAGCACACCATGAGCACAATGGTGCAAGAGCCATACGTGAACCACGTTCCCACAGTGGGTGCCCTTGATCTGTAGCGTCGGAAGATTGATCGCTGACTGCTTTTCTCAGCTCACCGGTGGCGTCGGACGCGGTCCGCTCACCAATTTCTACCGCCACAACTTCATCTTCAACAACTCAGCAGACACCGAGCTCGAGCTCATCAGCAGGACGATCGGTATTGACCGCGTGGTAGACGAGTTCATCTTCAAGTTCACCCATGAGCAGGAGATTGACTGGCTGTAAGAAGCGCACTCCGCATCAATTGGACGACCTGGCTGACCTCTTTCCCAGATTACCCGGAGTCCCTCCGACGGGTCGCTCAGCAGAAATACCCTTTGCAGCGGTCGTCAACATCCGTGGGGATCGGCTGTACCACGAACACATCAGCTGGGATCAAGGAACGGCGCTGACGCAACTTGGGCTGCTGCCAGAGTATCTCCCATTTCCTGGCGGAGAATTGGAGTACCGTGTTCCCGTCGCAGGGCTGGAGACAGCGAGGAAGTTGAGATCTCGCCACTCGGTGCAGTCAAATGAGATGTTCAACTTCAAGACGAGGAGTCGAAAGGACTCTGAACAGTCGTAATTCATATTAATAACAAACGAAAGTTGATGAGCCATCATTCCTGCTGGGACATCGAATGTTACCCAGGGTATTGGCTTCTCTGCACCTCCGCTTCGTCTTGCTTGAAGTTCTGTTGGGGAAATTCCATGTAGAAATCCACTCGTTTCCGCCGTGTAGGAAGACAGGACCCGGGCAGGGTGTAGCAACGGTTAGTGTTGTGATTCGGGAACCACGAAGGGTCCTTCCTTCACTTTTTACATGGAACTTAACGAGTCACCACCTCGACCAGTAGAGGAAGGATCTGGCTAGGCAGTCATTGCGAGTTGAAACCTGCGCACCTTCCTCACTCCCCTTTGATTTGTTCATTCTGCTCTTGTTTTCGTAACATCCGGAAAGCTCTGGAAGCTGGGACGGAGAGTGGTTATAACATGAATATTCTGTAAGGTAGCGACAGTTGAAGAAGCAACCAGATGTTTGCAATGCATGGAACGTCGTTGAAAGACGAGCACCAGGATACCGATTGCCTCCAGCGGAAAACGCATTGTCAAAGTATGTTCTCAGGAGGGCTCACAAGTTATCTTTAGTTGCTAGCTTGCGTCTCGAACACTTCATGACACTTATCAGTCGATGAGAAGAAGTATTCTGTTGAATTCGAAAAGATCAAAGAAGCTGCATCTTAAGCCAATAAATGTTCCCGTGTCTCATAAAGTTGTGGTGAGTACGAAAGTATGAAACAAGCTAGAAGGAAAATGAAGGATGTCTCGATTAAGCTCAACTTTATCGTGTTCTCAGTGATCTCCAATTTTCTGTTGAAGTTTTACTCCTGGGAAGTTCCTGTTCAGGGCCGTTGATTGAAACGAAAAGACCAAACTTCAACGGATCTAGAAGTTCTACTCGCCGCAGACTCAAACAAGTGGCCGAAGGCCAGCAGCATCGTTTGAGTCCGGTTTGAGTCATACAATGTTGACAGGTTCTTGAAGAACTACGAAGATGTGTTTCTGACAGTGGGCATTTTTGATCATGAGACATGGCGTATCTGGGTCTCTCTGAGCTGTCGAAATTAGTTCTCAATGCCTTGTGTTGCCCCCCTTTGTCTTCGCTTCTTGTGCTGTGAAGGTAATTTGTGTGCATATGATTTGTTTCAGTGTCAAAGGCTTCTGAGTACAATTGAAATTGCTGGAAGGAGTTCCAACATTGTCTTTATTGCTCTCCAGCAATACTCATTGCCTCCGCATCTTCCGGAATACATATTTATATGGATCTTGAACTTCATTTGCCGCCCTGCACTTTTCCAACACCATCAGCCTTGAGCAGCCGATCTGTTTTGTCTCGTCGCCTCGCTACTAGTTTGCCTATCACTCTCTAAATATATTTGTATCAGCCAATCCCTTGGAACATTCTGTTCACCTCAAAGTGGGCTCGGTCATGTCTACAATGTCCGAACGCAACCAGCTTGCCAATGCCGTGAGCCCGAAAACAGATGGTACCTCGAGCAAGAAAGAACTCATGGCTGTGTGCGAGCAGCTGAAGGACGAGCCTGATCTCAAGTCCGTCGTCTCCGCGGACGATCATGAGCTTTTGGCCAAGATGTTCCTTGACAGAAAGAGCTTGTCGCAAGAGGAGGGAGAAAACGCAGCGGAGGATGCTAAGGTAAATTGCTTTACTATTCTTTGCCAACTCATCCCTAGCCACCACCTCATAATCTGGACTCGATAGATTTCTGCTTTTACTAGAAACCCGGAGGCGGTTGGTGCGATTCTTCTTGTAATGACATCTGCTGACAAACGGTTCAGAAACTATGGCCTGCTTTGGTGACACTTGGCATGGGCCAAGTCCTCACAGGAAGAGTTATGCGCATCATCTCGGAGGTTGCTGCTAAGCTACCTGAGGATTGGATATTCGAAGACGAAGCGATGGGTTTGTGGTTGTTTCTCATGGTGCGCGAAGCTAAGAAGCATGAGGGGGACCAGACTCCGGCTGTTGAGTGAATGGGCGGGCGACTGGACAGTAACTCGTTTCTCATGCTGGGGGACATGGCTAGATTATGTTTTTGGAAAGACATTGTTTTGAAGGATATGTATAAACCTAGACCACAGGCGAAGCAGCTGATTCGCCTGTTAGTTGAAGTTCGATGGGATAGCCGTACCATAGTGTTTTCACAATGTCGAAGCCTCACGCCGCAATGCAGTCTACGCGGGGGCGGAACCAGAGTTTCTTGGCTGTTGGTCTGATCCCCAGAGACCGATCATCATGGAATAGGGTTGTTATTTTATTACACCATACGGTTCATACGGTCCATGCGATCCATCCGGCCCATCTCGTAACTTTCATTATGCCCATCGTAATCACTTCTGGTGTCGTACTGCACCACCACCTCGTTCGTCTTGACGATCTTGCCAAACTCTACCTCTTCCTCGTCCCCGAGAATGCTCTTATCGCTTCGGTCGTCTGCGAGCTTGTCTTTCCTCCTGACGGAAGGCTTTCGTGTCGTCGTCGTTACTGTGACGGTGTTCGTGCGGGTGATGCCACCGCCGATCTGAGACCTGCCTGTTCGGGTACCGGTGGATCCGCCGTAGTATTTGCGGGCGGTGCTGGCGACGTCGCGGACGAGGACACGGAGGACGGGGATGGAGGCGGCGGCAATGGTTACGCCGGACTCGCAGGTTCCCCAGATGACGAGATCGCTGCCATCGTCTGGCATTTTGATGAGCTTAAGTCTTCAAACTACTGTGTTGGAATACCTACACGTAAAGTCACCCGAGAGGAGAGTGGGGATGGTCGTGCACTTGACGATCGCAGTTGCACCGGCACTGGAGATCGATCTTAGCTGGAGGTCTGGAGGAATGGAGCGATTGTACCCACAAGAGACCCATACTCATAGCGATGGCAACGCCGATCTTCTCCTTCAGCTTCATTTGAAGTCCCCAAACCAACTTCCATGGCAGCATGGCCAGGAGGATATCCATCAACGCGGAGTATCCTAGACTTCCGTTAGACCATTTCTGCAACAAACTTCCTCTGGCAACATACCGGCAGCAAAGACACCGTAGTACGCAGCAACCTTTGGATCCCAGCACTTCCCCGGAAGTTCAGGGTGCCAGTACTTCTCGATTGGCGCACACTGAACCCAGCCGGCCATCGCGTTGAGCGCCATCAACAGGTTCATGCTGACGATGGCGAACCAAATCAGATGTCGTGTCCAACCTTTCCCTTCGATCCTTAGAAGCGTCATCGCAAACGATGTCTTACTCCACACCGCTGCCGAGATCGATATCGTGCTGGAAACTTGGCCGTTGAGGCCGATCGCCGGGAAGTTGACGGGGTTGATCTCGAAGACATGCTTGCCGAAGCCGAGGGAAACGTTGACCGAACTCAATATCGCTGTGATTAAAAGGGCGACCTGCCCAATGTCAGGTTTCGCTCACGATCGGCCAGGCTGCCGATGGAACTCACCCATGATGCTATGAGCACATGATCATCCCACCACAGACCTCGATGCTTCTTGAACTTGCAGTAAACTCTCAGAGAGAGGAAGAAGGCCGCAAGCGCGACCTGAGACCAGACCACCGCATTGATTGTCGGGCCGTAGTCTGCTGGCCGCCCCATCTGACCAGCCAAAGGGGTGAAAGTCGTGATAGGCCCACGCACGTACCAGACGTCAAAGGAGTGTTGATGGAGGAAACAGACCAGCCGTTAAACGAAGGACGCGACGCAAAAAGCGGAAAAGGCAACGTCAAGAATGGCAACGCAGCGAGCGATGGGGTATCAAAAGGTAAAATAGATACAAAAGAAGGCAAAAGTGGGAAATAGGGAACGTAAGACGGTCGCATCCACCGGGCGTGTGGGGGACGACTCTCGAGATATGCACCATCGGTTGACTTGGCTATCCACTCTTCGCCCTTTCAGCCTGGCCGCCAGACCCTGCAAGCCCGACATAACCATTCCACTGGGCTGCAGATTGGCCCTTCCCTGGTCTCGCTCCCGGTATGGAACACAGATGCCGGTGATCGACTTGTAAGGATGAGACGATGATCACGCAAAGGTGCTGACTGGATGTAGGGTTGGCCCCGGTTTCACATAAGGAAACCGGGGAAAAAGAAGGATGGGCGTTCTAGAAGAAAAGAAGCACAGCCACTCGTCTCAGCGTCTGCGGTGGTGGCCTTTCCATGTGGCGTGTCAGGAAGGCGGAGTCCAGCAGCTGGGCATGACAGAACGCCAGACGCCGTTCATAAAGGGGGAACTGGTGTCTCTGCGTGGTGGTGTATGTGCTGTCATGGATATCCTGTTACGTGTTGTGGGGGACGAACGACGAGACACTAAAAGAGGCTCATGACTCGACGGGCAAAGAAAGTTGCCTGTGTTCTGTCACTGCTGCGGGCACGAAGGCTCTTGGCGAACAAGGGAAGTTTGGGGGAGAACCTGTGGTCTTGTCTCTGTTGTCCTTTTCTCGGGTTCGGTGTCGAGAAACATTTGCCGTCAAGTTTTACTTGCCGAGAGTGGAAGGGGCCCCGGATTGGGAATCTCGTCGTTTTGGATAGACTGCGCCTCGCGTCTCTGTTAAACTGGCCGCGGGAGCAGCCCCGGCAGAAGTCGGGTAGGCGATGAACCCGCCCTAGCGCAGTAGTCAAAAATGATGGCTTAAATTGATCAGGAAGGTTACATTGACGTCCATCTAAGCTGTGCACGTCGCATTCTGGATGCTGGATGCTGCCCCTTAAAGTTAGGCAGACCGGATGGCAACCACAAGGCGTGCATGCTGCCAAGCCCTTCCCTCATCACCCCCCTCTTTGGAAGATCACCGTGGGATCGTATCACGAAATTCAGAGGAATCCCATAATCTCGCGTGGGCGAACGCAAAATCTGCCGGACGTGAGCTGCTTTGCCGTCTTTCCCAGAAAAGCCTGGCATTTCGCGATCTGTGCAGGGATGTTGCCCGAGTCAGAGGCTTTCGGGCTGCAGGACGGGAATCGTCCGCCGCCCCGAGACCGGGTCATCTGGCAGGCGCATGAGCGGACGTCGTCTCAGAATGTCAATGCAGACAGGGAATTAACCTTTATCACTCATCGGTCATCGAACGAAAAAAATGAGAGAGCCCCGGCCACGATTCTTGCCAAGACGTTGCACCGCTGGACCAATCGTATGGTAGGGCTGGGGTGACGGGGAACGGTGTTTCAACCGATGTTATTTCGTCACCAGGTTGCTATTTAGGGGGAAACAGGTGGGTTCCAGTTTTTCGGTGTGGCCGTTCTTGTTAAATACAAGCACATTGCCTGCTGCTGCAAATTCCAATTCCTGATGTGAATCTGGCGTCTTGACCAACTGCCACGAGCTTCTTCCGTCGGTCGGATGATCTTACACACTGAAACGCGACATCTTCGCTCTGCTTGGAACCGTTAACAGCGTATTATGGACGGGCTACTCCGGCGTAGCCTTTGGAAATGATGCACAACCGATTCAATTTTTAGGTTTTCTTTTCTCGCGTCTCTATTACGGATGCATCACTCCTGGCCTAAATCCAAAAGATCGACTCCACGACTTGGCTGGTTTCCAATTCCACCTAGGAAAGACATGACTTATCAAACCCAACGATGAAGCCCAGGTCAACTGGCAACACCAAAAACCTTGCCATTGACAAAATGAATTCTTGACAGTTTGCAGGTTGTTTCCGAAAAGGAACCAAATTTCCAGTATTCCTGACACCCTGTTTCTTCACAACCAGCCAAGGTCCTCGCAGTAGCCCTGATTAGGATCAGCCCTACGTGAAAGAAGGCTATCAGTACAGGACCACGGGCAAATTATTCGAAGAGTGGCAAAGACTTACATGTATTCCCAGTTCCAATAGCCTGTTTGCCCGCCGTGTTTACAACCGTATGCCTCCTTTTCCATGCCGTTCATACACTCTTTGGTTTTGATCGTGTTCGTTCCCCAGTTGATGTACTGAAATGCGTCAGTGATGATACTATGGTTTAGCTGGACATTGAATCGATGTGCAGTAGGACAAACAAAATGTTTTTGGATCAGGTTCCATCGGCGCCAGCCTTACCTTGAGCATAAAATCCCACTTCAGCCCATCCTTTTCTTGCAAGCAAAAGCGACGTTGCTCCCCCTTATGCCACTTCATTTTGCCGTTGCCCGCAATAGCGTTGCAAATAATTTCCATACGAGTCTTCTTCTTGAGTTCTTTTATCTCCTCCTTCAAAAACTTGCCCTTTTCGGCTGTCATCCCCCCGCTGAAGCATATTGCGGCCACGGTAGTAGCGGCTAGGATCATGAAGACCGCGGCTGATTTCATCTCGACAATACGGTGATGCTGCGAAAGTATTTGCTGAAGATTGAGGCAATGTTGAGTGAACTCTGAGTTCGAGCGTCTGGTTGATGTGTATGATGGTGATGAGAATGTCCTACATAAATACAGATACACGAAGCTGCTTGATACTGAATGACCCGGTGTTCCATGAGGTATTGTTGCATTCTCTAAAATCATATAAGACGTCATAAAAAATAGCCGAGTGGCATTGGACATTGAATTTCGCATCGCAGGCTTAGGCTGAGTAACCCAACCAACAAAGACAGGCATTCGTGAATGATAAGGTAGTTTTCATTTTACACTCACTGGCGACTGACTTATGTTTGAGGCGGTTGGTACATCTGCCTAAGTTTCAGTGCTTCATTTGGGTCTCCCTATTCTTGCCAGATTATGTCGCGTTCGGCTACGTCATGACCATTACACACGAGGGGATAGAACCGAGGATGAATGGCCTAGAATACGAAACAGATTCTATCAATACGGCGGTAAATCAAGGGAATATTTGATGTGAAGGTGATACCACATTTCACTGCCTAGTCTCGTGTAATTGTAAGCTCTGGGGATCTCTCCACATGGTCTTCTGACAAAGAACCATAAGCGAAGGAAGGGCGATGATGGTCACGAACTTTGAGTCTCCATGTGTTACGTTGAATAACGCAAGGAGAAACACTGTTACACTAGAAGCTATGTAGTAAATTATCAGTTCAAGGAAATAACAAAGAGTCCATCTTTTATTGGCTAATGACCTGGATGCTTATTAGGAACAGTTCAATAGGATATGACGCCCAAGGGCTGGTACGCCCGCATGACCCCATTCTTTGCTACGATGTCACCAATCCTCTCATGCCTCTCGCCATGGAAACCCTCATGTGCCCGACAACCAGGGGTTGTTCCCTGCTGGTCTCAACGCCTACTACCATTCTCACAGTGGTAATGTTGACGACAACTATAGACCAAAGACAGTAGGAAAGCCGGATTGTCTCTGAGACACATGACAGCCCTAGGGGATTGGGTAGTTTCTTGGTGTTACCAAGATCACCCAAAAGAACCACAGCCAAAATACTTAAAGAAGCTGCTCTAGACTAAGGACCTAGGAATCTGTGTCTGCAGACCATCTGAGCCTCAAGAATTTGCTCTAAAGTTAGTCTTGTCATTGTTTGTGACGAATTCAACATGTATCTGTCTTGGCAAATCCTTATCGCAGCATTGATTTCCACCACGGTGGCTGGAGTCATTCCCACGACCGACGGCACTCACGTCAACATGGAATCGAACCTCATTACAAGAAGTCAGCAGGAGCTCATTACTCAGGGAGCAGCACCCACGAACGAGGAAGTCACCAAGCTGGCCGTGGCTACGGCCCTTGGGGAACGATCAATGTAAGTTATCACTCATTAATTAAATCTTTCTATCGCTTTCTGTTGTATGAAGGATACACTTCTGATCATGATTGAAGTGATGCTTCGATGAAAGCATCCTCCAGAGACACGGATACGATGGGTATCGGCAGCAACCCAGTCATTCACGTGGTGAGGGAAAGCCCGGAATCAATGAATGATCCCCAGTCATAGTAAGGTTTGATTCCGATGTATCCGATTCTGCATTGAATCTTGCAGTGTAGATGAACTGATCACACCTGATCTGATAGCGATGTCATCGTTCGAGACCCTGATGGAAGCGGTGTGACTAATATTACAATGGAGTTGCTTGACAACAGATTCTTCGATTGGATGTGGGATATCTCAGGGCTAGGCCGAAGGATGATATTCTGTGTGAGCACCCTCCCCCTTTTCGAACCCCAGCAGATGCAATCGGGTATGGCGGACTAATCAAATTTGACCTAGATCGCTTGCATCGCTCATTGCAGGACTCTCGACATTCACAGGATTATCGGCAGGACTGCCCCAGAGCAGATAAAACTATAGTGAGTAGATTGAGACCTCCAGAGTAGTCCAACTAATTAAACAAACGAGTAGCTGCGTTTTCACCAGATGCTATGGAACTCATGCATGTGGATATCTTGAATCAACGGAATATGACAGAGTATTTTCGGGTCCCGGTCAATTTGCACCTCCAGAATGCGAAGGTGCTTGTCTTATCGCGGCTTATACCGAAGCAATGGGGATAGGAGGACGTGGCGAAAGTTCGTGCAAGAAATGTTGTAGGTGACCGTGGCTACTCACCAATTGAAATCGCACGGTAGGTATTTATCATGCCGCGAGCTTTTTCCCGACGGGCATCAATGAGGAGAAAGCACGAGTTATGGCAGATCCATGGATGCATACAAGTACTTGACTGATGAATCGATTTATGGCGAGCAGCATGGCGCTTCATATCAAAGAGTGCATCTTACTCTTTGATATCATCCACACTACTAGAATGTAGTTTAAGAAATCTATGAAATCCAATCCTTCGGACTGCTCAGCCCCAGTTCTTGACTCATTTCAACTGTCTCTTTCGCTTTCTTGTTGACGCTTTCCATCTCGAAACCGGCGACCTGCTTGTACACTTTACCGATACTCTCCAATTCTTCCTTTGGGACCACGTCATAGACGTTCTCGAAACCATCTGGTGCTCGTTCTTCACATAGTTGAAGAACGTGGTCGGGGCCATTGGCGCGGTTTGCCATGATGATTCTAGCCGTGGCCGGGAGCCTCTCTGTTTCGTAGGCTTTCAGAGCTGCCTCGATATCACCGACACTCTCGGTAAGAGTTCTTGCCAAAGTCTCCGCGTCGATGATGGCCTGAGATGCACCATTCGAACCAATGGGATACATGGCGTGAGCAGCATCTCCAAGAAGAGTCAGTCGGCCGAAACTCCATCGCTCGACCGGGTCCCGATCACTCATTGGGAACTCAAACACCTTCTCTGTCTCGTCAATGAGATTCTTCATATCGAGACCTCCACATTTCCATCCGTGGAAAGGCCGCTCAAAGACGGACTTGTCCACAGCCTTGGTCCAATCCGTTTTGGGCGGTGTCAGGTCTTCGTCGTCCTTGTCTCTGATTCTGAGTTCCGCAATCCAGTTCACCAAGCTCTTACCCTTGTCAGCTGACCGTTGGCTGATCGGGTACGCGATGAACTTCTGGTCGGCATGACCGGCCCACACCATTGATGCCCCGGTCAAGTAAGGATCACGCTCCAAGCAGCCACGCCAGAGCATACGACCAGAGAAGCGTGGTGGTCCTTCGTTCGGGTAGAGGACTCTTCTCGCAGTCGAGTTGATGCCGTCGGCAGCGATGAGTAGATCTCCCGTCACTTTAGACTGGTCTGCTGGCGCACCATCCCTTCGTCGCGAGAACTCGGCCGTGATACTTTGATCATCTTGAGAGAAACCGGTCAGGGCGTGGTTGAGTGTGACGGCGGATTCGCCCAAGCGTTCTTTGACTGCGCTCAAGAGCAGCATCTGGATCTCTCCTCGGTGAATGCTGAGCTGCGGAACAGCATAGCCCGCTTTAATGCCTCTTGGCTCACTAAGAATCGGGTGACCATGACGGTTGTAGAAGTTCAATTCCTGAGTCTTGATACCTGTCTTTTCCACGGCTTCAATCAAGCCGAGATTGCGGAGAATCAGCACAGCCGACGGCTGGACATTGATTCCGACACCGAGCGTTGTGAGTTGCGACGAAGCCTCAAAAATGTGGATGTCGGTGAATCCGGCGGCGTGGAGCGACAGGGCCGCGGCAAGACCACCAATGCCGGCGCCGGCGATGATGATCTTGGGCTGGGGTTGCCGATGGGATGGCATGGTGTCGGCTGCAAGGCTGAGTTACACGCCAATGGTTGCAGTGCGAATTTTGCTTAGGTGCAGTGGCAGAACTCAATTGGAACGATGCTTTAAAGCTGGACATGACGTCGATCCCGAGTTCCGAACTTCGGAGGCGGTGGAGTCTGTCGACTGCCGAGAGTTGATGCCGTGATCTGGAGCAGAATTTTCCTGGGTCCACCAGACTCCATTCAGCCGGCACCCCGCTAACCCCGGATCGTGCGATCTTACGGCGGCGGGTGATCCCGTCTTGAAGATTGAGCTCAAGGCCGCCGTCCATCATCTGATTCGCAGACATCGAGAACTGACTGCAACGTATGCATGGGTGGTCAAGGAGGAGCCGTCTAGCGTCAGGTACGCCCGTCTTTGTGATGCTGGCCACTGATACTTCAATGGAAACGACTCTAGTCGATACCGTTGAAGAAGGGGCCTGAGGTTAGCAGCAATTGTTCATATAAAACCACTGCTGCCGCTGAGAATCCATCATCCGAGAACATCGCCGCTGCAGCGGACGCAAAGCCAACTTTGTCAAGGAAGCGACGGGAATGTCGCTTTAGCACAGGACATGGTTGTCAGGGAAATTTTGCGCTTGGAATGTGCAGTGGCAGTCATGGATCAGCCACGTGCGGCGCGCAGCGTAACCGCGTAACCCGAAGACACAGCGACCCCAAATTTCAGGGTCCCATGTACCTAAGGTTCTCACAATCGTCCATTGAAATGGTATTTGTCTCGCGTTCATGGTCATTGGCAAGAATACCTAAAATTTAAGTATTCATTCACGCAATGCCCATGCCATCGATCGAGCGGATAGTGGGGCACAACACAGATCGACTGGGACCACTGATGCCGTCATGGAACTAAATTGTGTGTCTCACGGACAACTAACTTTGCAAGTTTGTCCGAAAGGCTCGATATCATCTCAAATAGCCCTGCTGCCTAGATTTGATGCATAATAGACGAAATAGCGATATATGGACCATACCCTCAAAGTAACGTAGCTCTCCCATGCCTTTTCAACCTTTTTTCGCTGGAATCTCTTTCCGTACCATCAGAAACCAGTGCTATCGTGCCGTTTCCACTTCTTCGCTACCTTTCCAAACTCTTGGAACCATGCGGACCAGATCGGCTGCCAAAAGTCATGATGACGACAACCCAAAGGCGAAGAGGAAGTTGCAAGACCTCAAGGATATCGACGATCGGAAAGATCGAGACAACAGAATAACCGGCGGAAATACCAAAAAACGAAAGGAGGCTCATAAACCATCGTCCAAATCTTCTTCCATTACAGAAGAGACCTTGGATCCGGAGCGAGAAGCCCTTTCCCCTACTCAGAAACTCTCAACAAAAAAATGGGAAGCATGGTCACGACACGCACACGCATCACCGTACCCGGACTTCCGGCGCCCTACCCCCGAAGACTGCCAAACCGCGTACGAAATCCTGGAAGACCTCCACGGAGATGTGGTCCGTGAAAACTTTGCCGATCCAGACGCCCCGGCCCAAGAATACCCCTACGTGATGGACGCTTTGGTAGTGGCCGCACTCAGCCAGGCGACGAGCTGGGCAAACGCGAAACGCGCGATGAAAAACATGAAGGTCGTCTACGGATCCACCTTCAACTACGACGCTATTGTCAAGGGAGGCATGGAGAAGCTTATTGATGCCCTCCGTCCCGGCGGGATGCAGAATCGGAAGGCCAAGATCTTGATGCAGTTGTTGAACGACGTGAAAGCCCGCCACGGCAAATGGGACCTTCAATATTTGTTCAACGCGAGCGACGACGATGTGGTCAAAGAAGTTGTCAGCTATTGGGGCCTCGGTCCAAAATGCGCTTTCTGTCTCCTGAGCATATGTCTCAAGAGGGACGCATTCGCGGTGGATACACACATCTACCGCATTACAGGGCTCTGGGGCTGGCGACCAGCTGATGCTTCAAAGGAGATGGCCCAGGCTCATTTGGACGCGCGTATACCCAATGAGCTCAAGTTTGCATTGCATTATCAGTTCATAGTGCATGGCCGAGAGTGTCCTGCATGCCGTGGGAACGGTGATAAGAGGGCGGCATGTGAATACAAGACCGCGCTGGCACAGAGAAACGCAGAAATAGCAGTACAGAGTTGCGCAAAATAGCCGATTGAAACCATACAATACAACCTTTGAAACATTGTTCATCACGATGCTTACTCTGATATCCTCCTCTACACATTCTGCGTATGTCGTGCTACCTAATCATGGCAAGTTCATGCAGCCCCGTACATGCACTCTGCTTATGTTGTGTTACGTCGATTCAACTTGAGACACCAAACCCACCAGTTCCCAGTAGAAATTTCTTTCAAAATCATATCTCACATCATTTCTGTCAACCCAAAGCACGACGCGGACTTCGGGGCAGGCCGCCACTCCGTGATAGTCCCGAGGTGAAACAAGGTCTGTCTGTCATTCTGTTCAACGACTGGGTGAAATAGGGACCGCCCCACATAATGGTCCAATAGCACTGTGAGGGCCGTGAATGGCGTCGTGGCTTGGCCCGGCGTCAAAAACGCACCTTCGCCGCTCTACCACTGGCCCGAAACGGACATTTGTGGATCCTCACAGGCCGCGTTTGAGCTGCTCCACACCGGTCAATTTCGCATCTTGTCCGATTTTGTGAGGCCGGGTCCGATCCGGAAGGAATTCGCACTGTACCGGCGTGCAGACCGCAAAAGTCGATGACGGAGCATCATAGTGGGAGCCGAAATTCCAAGAAGGGGAGAAGGGCTGACACTACACACGGTACTTGCTATGGCTTGGTGACGATTAGGGCACTCGGTAGAGAGGAAGAAGTGATAAATAGCATGATGTCTTTCAACATCTGAGTAAATCTTCACCAGCAACTCAAACCACTTCTTTCTTATTCCTGAACATCACCCGCTTACTCCTTACATCATGAGTTCTTCAGCTTCTCATCTCCGCCAGATTGGCATTCATCGCAGCCTTCCAACCTTTGACGATTCTGTTGAGGGACTCACGGCCATCATCACCGGCGCCAATGGCATCTCTGGCTTCAACACCATGAGGGCTCTCCTCGATAGCCCCAAGCGCTGGAAGACCATCTACTGCCTCTCTCGCAAGCCCCCTCCGGAGGAGATGATGGCTCTCCTGTCCCCTGAAGCTCAGTCCCGCATCGAAATTGTCACCTGTGACTTCCTGCAGGATCCTGCCTCGATCGCCAAGAGCATGACCCAAGCTGGTGTTCGGGCCGACCACATCTTCTTCTACTCCTACATCCACAAGGATTGGTCTGAAGCGGAAGCCCTCGTTGAAAGCAATGTCCAACTCCTCAAGAACTTCCTCGAGGCCCTGGAGCTCGCCGAGATCAAGCCCAGTCGGTTTGTTCTGCAGACCGGCGGCAAGAACTACGGTGTGCACATTGGTCGTGTGCGGACCCCGCTCCTGGAGTCTGACCCTCAGCCCCGACACCTGCAGCCCAACTTCTACTACCCTCAGGAGGACATGCTGAAAGAGTTTTGCGCAAAGCATGGAACTTCGTGGAACATCATCATGCCCGCTGCTGTCATTGGCACTTCGTCAAATGCATCGATGAACACCTTCTGGTCCTTCGCTGTGTACGCTGCCATCCAAGCACGCAAGGGAGAGCCCCTTGCATTCGGGGGAGACTGGGAGCAGTGGCAGTATGAGTACTATCACTGCTCTGCCCGCATGACTGGCTACCTTAGCGAGTGGGCGGCCCTCGAAAAGGGTTGCGCGAACCAGGCGTTCAACACCCAAGACGGCGGTCCGTTCACCTGGGAGCGTTTCTTCGCCGAGCTGTCTCGCTGGTTTGGTGCGAAGGGCGTGGTGCCCCCGCCTGACGACGAGTCTGGATTCAAAACAGTCGAAGGGAGGTCAGGCAAAAAGACCCCTCTGGGCTACGGACCCCCGCTGTCGTACAAGTCCAGCTTCACCCTCCGAGACTGGGCTGCCGACAAGAAAAATGTAGAGACCTGGCATGCGATCATGAAGGAGTCTGGAGGCAAGATCACTCATGATCCCTTCAAAGATCCGGATACTTTCTTCATGGGAGACTTTGCTTATCTCAGGTTTGGAAGCGTGTCCTTGAACAAGGCTCGAAGATTTGGATGGACCGGGTTCCTTGACACCATGGAGAGTATCTTTGAATCTTACCAGGAGATGGAAAAGCTGGGCATGTTGCCAAGCATGCAGGTCGATGCTGCCCAGCCACTCGGCTGCTAGACAAATCATTGCCGGAGGACAAGTACCAGATGAGATAGAGAAAGCACAATTATCAGCGCAGTGAACACGATCCATTTAGATTTGGTCTCATGTTTGTAAACCAATGAGAGGATGAAACTTGAAATGTTAATGTTAATTAAAGTGGACTTCAGAGAAGCATATTCCTAGCACGGCTACCTCTGAACTGGGGTCAGTTTGACATGCATCTTAGGCTTGGCCCAGAACACAACGGAAGTGAAGCTTGGCTTCACGTCCCAGTCACGATCTTCCGGTTTAAGCTCGATATCGAAATGCCAAATCAGCTTCGCCAGGAACATGCGCATCATTCCATAAGCAAAGCTGTTTTACTCGCTATCAGTTGTGTTCTCATTGGATGAAAGGTGGAATGGCTTACCCTTTTCCCAGGCAATTTCTGGGCCCCTTAGCAAAAGGTTGACAGGCACCCTTCTGGTCTGCGGCAAAGCGGGGGTCGTCGGCCGAAGACTTCAACCACCGCTCTGGCAAGTAGGAGTTCGCCTCAAAGAAATTGGAGTCCATGTGATGAGTTGCCCATTGCGGTACGCCCACAGTAGTCTGACCGTGTTGATTAGCTTTGAAGTATGAACGGAATTGCAGACCACTTACCCCCTCAGGTATGTAGTGTCCATCCACCATGCCTCCACCAGGCGGTCCAACTCTCGGAATGACTGCGGCAACAACAGGGCGCATGCGCATGCCTTCATCGATGCAGGCTGTCAAATACTCCATGGTCGCTAGTCTAGAGATGGTGATCTCTTCGTCACACTCGATGGTTCGAAGCTCCTCAGTCAACCTCTTGTAGGCGTGAGGAGTAGTCAGGAGGTGGAACATGACCACGGATAGTGTCGTGGCTGACGTCTCACTTCCGGCAAAGAAAAGAAGCTGAGCAAAGTTGATGATCTTATCCCTGGTCCATGACTCCCGGTCGTCGTTCTCCGCCCAGATCATCGTCATGAAGTCAGGCCGATCGTTGCCCATCTTCTCCCGCTTTTCGGCTTTCTGTGCAACGATGTCGACTGTCTCAAGCCACGTCTTGAGGCCCTTCTGGCTTGACACCATCTTGTACAGCAGCCTTGTCAAGGGCAGCCTGTTGAACAGTTGCAGAAGACCGATGAAGGGAGAGACGTTCAAGATCATGTCAACAAAGGGATCCATCTCACCTTTCTCCATGCAGTACAGCGACTCGCCTGTAGAAAGGTCGGCCATCACATCGGCAGTAGCGAAAGTGACCCAGTCAACAATGTCGACGTCTTTCTGGACCCTATCACGGAGCTCCGAGATCATGATGTCGGCGTATCTCTGGATGATGGGTTCTTGGGCCTTGAGAGCCTTTTCCGAGAAGGCGGGTGCGACTTGGCGTCGTAGCGCGCGATGTGTGGGCTGGTCGGCCGAGATCATGGAGTCGTTAAGAGGCGTGCCCCGAACGTCATAGAAGACTGCATCCTTGGGAAACTCAAGCTTGCCTTTGGTCTTGACGCCGTAGATATCATCTAGGGCTCGGGCCGACGAGAACGAAAGCTCATTGGGTCCGACCCTCACGACTGGGCCATATTTCTCGTGAAGGGCTTTGGCATGCCTCCAGTAGTCAGCCTTGTACACTTGACGGTAGAACTTTGGCAGCCAGGAGACCGCGTAATGCGATGGGCCAGGGAAAGATTTCAAGGGGTGGATGAAAAGGTTGTAAAGAACGATGGAGAGTCGATATGCAACAAACTGCGCTTGGTTAGTTAAAACCATTAAAGAAGATTGTAACTTACGGCGCAAATGGCCAGCTGCCACATAGAACCCATTGCAGTGGGCGTCTCAACACCTGGTGAGCGGTTTGATCTGCGCCGAGTTTGCTTTCGGTGTCCGATCGTCTATAGCACACAGCTCGTTGCAACCTTTCGTCCCTTCTAAAAAATTTCTTTTTTAAAGTTTGCCGCCTGTAGCGCACCCTGTTGACTGCCGTATGACACCGACGGGAATTTGTGAGGGCCAGGATGACACAGAAACCCGTTGCTTTTCTGTAGAATTGAATTCAGGTTATTAGAGAGCTAGGTTCCAATGCTCAGGAGACTTCGTGGTCGTGGAAAATCGGCATTCGTTGTTGCTCTGGGTTCCCATGAGTTGTGGAACAACACGTAGGCTTGCAATATCCCACGTATCGAGACTCTCAATTGCGGCCGACCCATTCGGGCAGAAACGCGCCGATCAGGCGTAGCCGGGCAAGGTTGATGAATCAAGAAACTGCCTTCTTCAAAGTGCAAAGCTTCTGGTATATCCCACGTGTTGAACTGCCGGCGAACGACTCCCGTTCTTGGATACGGTCGAGCGTCAAAGGCGGTAAAATAAGTGGGTACAAACATTCGGTGTCCCCGTGTGGTACTCTTCTCGCGTGTGGTATGGCCAATTGGTCACGTCGGCTCTACACACTCACGGCAGGCCAAGAGGAGGTCAGCACAAGCTTCGACTGAGCAGGAACTTAATCGTGTGCCCTGTAAGGCGGAGTATTTTCTGGGGAATTTGTCTCTAAGTGCGACTGCTATCAACCCCAGATTGGGAAGGTGCGCCTGCGGTGTCTCCTTGATAACAAGGGGCAACTCAGGGGTCGTGCATTGTCAATTGAACGGTTGACCCGTAAGCACCCCAGCTTCTCCAGTTGAGGTCGCGATAATTCACATGATGGACCCCTGGTGTTGAAGTTGAGGCTCGTGAACGGACTCTAGCAGGGCAGAATTTCAGCGAGTAATCTTTTCGCAAAAGGTCAACGTGTGTGGTACGCGAGTCATTACTAAGCCCCTCGACGAGTGCTTTGATCTCCTTTCGTGGATGTCCTGTTCCTGATGCTTGAGTCATATGGGAGTTTGTCCCGATTTTTCGGGAAATGCCGTGATATC